GGGCGCTGTACAAACACAGAACAAAGACAGCCTTTGTCTCATTTTGGCTAAAATTTGCATTTAAAAATCCCAAACTTATACAAAACCTACAGCCAATAGAAACGACAATTGACTTTTTTTGATATAAAAAAAAAAAAAAAGTTTTAAGAAAATCCCCATGTATTTATGTGTAAGGCTACGATTTTTTCACAGAAGTCACAGAATCCGTGACTTTCAGCAACTTGCGTGACTTTAGCCCCAGGAACAGGGAGCTGCAGGGTCCCCCTACCCCAGGCGATGGGGGTACCCTGCAGCTCCTGGGTGGCAGGGGCCCCCAGAACTCAGCGTGGGCCCCTGCAACTGCCCAGCTGCTGCGGGTGGTGTGGGGACCCCACAGCTGAGCTGCCCATTTTGTCATGGATATTTTTAGTAAAAGTCATGGACAGGTCCCGGGCTTCCTTGAGTTTTTCTTTATTGGCCGTGACCTGTCTGTGGTTTTTACTAAAAGTATCTGTGACAAAATCTTAGCCTTATTTAGGTGCTAGCACAATGTTGGGATTGATATATAACATGGTAATGACTAGTGTATTTTCACTGTCGATGCTGGGAAATGAAAAGTTAAAAAAAACATACTAAAAATTGATTCGTTTATAATGATCTGAAGTGCTAGCAACATAGCTAAGAAATATGTTTTAAATGTGGAAGCTGCCAAATGGGTGCTGCCAATCTTAAGAAGTATCTTTCTCATTTCATGGCTGCTTGACCTATTTAACCATTGACTATAGGAGCCCTGCCTCATTTAGTGGGTAGGAAAATGCACAGGAGACCTTTTTAGAATGTGAACTCTTTAGGGCAGGTAATGCTATTTTGTACAGTGCTCAACACAATGTGACCCAGCCTGGTTATGATCCTTAGGCACTACAGCAATATAAATGTTCAATAATAACTTGTCAGGCCTGGCTTGAATAACAAATCATCAGATATCACTGCTAAAGTGAGTTGGCAGGAGGGTGGAAGAGCAGAGTGGTCAATTGTTGGTGCTTCTTCCTAGGAGAGGAAGGAGAAGTGAGGGGACAGAGTGGCTGGGACTTCTCTCTCCATCTTTCAAAGAGGAGGCGGGAGCAGAGTGTCCATTGAGCTGCTGATTTTTTCCCAAGATGGTAGTGAAGATCAGAAGGGCCCATGTAGAGGAGGAGGAGATGGGTGTACATGAAGGCTACCATCCTAACAGGAGGAGTCCTGCAAAGAAACAGGGAAAGTAGCATGGTGATGAGATTAAGCCATAGTGCAAATCCTTCCCTCCACTCTGCTATTTAAATGTGTAGAACACACATTGACAACTGTCATCAGTGACTTAAATAGCTTATTGTATTTCTGTTCTGACTACAACTAATGGTTTTTGTTTTTTTTGCAGATCTTACATAGCAAGCACCTGATAGGAGTGTTGACACTGCTGACAGAGCTGGCAATCTCACAGATACAATGAAACCTTGTACTCTATACCTGCTGTCCTAAAAAACTTATTACAGATGCTCTGCTTGGATCACATTAAGTCCATCTGCAGTAGATTCATGTTTGAGAGACATTGACTGCAGAAAGCTGGCTTTCCTGCAGATTTTTTTAGCCTCACAAAACTCCAGTCCATGAAATGAAAGCATATTAGTTCCATTTGACCTCATTGGTTCCTGAACTGAAATCCACAACGGGTAATGAAGCAAAGAGGGCCATAGGAGGAAAATAATATAGATGCACATTTTGCTATAATAAAAACGTCACATCAATAAAGTAACATTTTGTAATGGCTTCAAGTATCATTTAAAGGGTCAGGCGTGAGATGGAACACTGCTCCTGCTCCATAGTCTAGATCAGTGGTTCTCAATCAGCACACAGCTGCAACCCATGTGACATCCGCAGGGCCATACAGGTAGTATATATATTGTGTGGATGGGGCTCACATAACACAGAGAGAGCTGCATAAGCGGCCCACAATGGTAAATAGGTTGAGAACCACTGCCCTAGATGCTAACACAGTAGTGCAGGAGGGTGGTGCATGTAATATAAGGCAGAAAAGCCTGTCTGTTGGGATTAATTTCTGCAAGGTTCAAAAGCACTCCCCTATGTTTGTTGAGTGAACAGTGAAATATTCAGAAGAATCAGTATGGCCTTGGTATCAGAGCATTTGAAGGAAAAGCCTCCTGTTTCCAGCTCTGCTACTAGTGACCTAAGCATCTCACTTAACCTCGATGCCTGTTTCCTTAACTACAAAATGGGATACTGGCTACATTTAATATAGCTGTTTAAAATGTACAAATTAAAGTGTTGTAAGGTAAAATGAGATTTCCCCCACCCTGCAAGTATATAGAGAAGGTTTTGCTCTCCTTTGTCAGTGAAGCTAAAGTCAAGTAAGTGTGTCAACCTCTTTCACTCTTACTTGACTCTGCTGTTGAATGTACTGGCTCTGAATCAATGTGAAAACAGACTTCTGATCAAGCTGCATTTTACCTGCCACAATCTACACTAGTTCAGATAAATATTATTATTCTTTACATGTTGACTGGTACATAAGGGGGAGGGATAGCTCAGTGGTTTGAGCATTGGCCTGCTAAACCCAGGGTTGTGAGTTCAATCCTTGAGGGGGCCACTTAGGGATCTGGGGCAAAATCAGTACTTGGTCCTGCTAGTGAAGGCAGTGGGCTGCACTCGTATGACCGTTCAAGGTCCCTTCCAGTTCTAGGAGATAGAATATCTCCATTAATTTATTTATTTATTTTATTTGGTGCTGAAGTGGGCAGTAAGACCACCTCACCTACTCTTGAATTTGTCTATATTTAAATACTTTGTGGTACAGACCATGGCACACTGGCTACGACTAGGCTCCTAGGTGCTTCTATAATACAACTAGCAGGCAGGTGCTCATGTGGCCTGACTTTCAGAAGTGCTGAGCACTCGCCAGTTCCCACTGATCCATGGCTGCTGTTGGATGAAAGGTACCTAAATATTGATATTTTTTTAAATCTTGGCTTACATTTTCATTAAAAAAAAATGTACATTCTAGGCCTTGTGTTTGGCAAGAGACTGAAAACTGATACAAAGATTGGCAGCTTGAAGCAGTTCCTGTTTATATTGAGGAGTTTTATTCTGAAATCCAATGACTTAACTTGCACTGCTGATCAGTTTAGGAGAAAGATCCAACTACTACATTTATCCCAGAATTGTAAGTCTCTCTCACCTTCTCTGATATCAAAATCCCTCTCTTGTTTGCATGGTCATTATAAGATCTGAAATAAATATATTGAATTTAATACAAAAATCTAACACTAGTCCACATTCACTCCAGCTTTGACAAAGAAGCACTGAAAGAAAGATCAATACGGTGTACCTGTGATCTACAGCCACCTTCCACTTTTGAAAATAGTATTTAATCTACAACCGCCTGCTAAATAATTTTGTTTCCATATGTTCAGTGTTACATAACTGTAGTTCTAGGAAAGTGTGCTAAAGTAAATGCCTGTCTGCAAATTGGTGGAATTACACTAGGGCTGGATTGCGCTTCTGTTATCAGGGCCATCTTTCCCTCTAGACAAATAGCTGTGTCCTGAACAATCCACTTCTAGGCTAAAGGATGCATGTGCCATTTCCCCCCCCAGACACCCAACCAGCAGAGCTACAAGTCAGTTTTGCTTAGGAACTGCTTCAGCCAGCCATCTGTTCAGTCCAGTATGTTGTCTTTACTGGGCCAATGCTTCAGGAAGGTGTCAAACCCCTACTGAAAAATACTATACCATGTGGTAGGGGGAGAGTAGTTCTGCCTGACTCCCATCTGCAGATCAGTTTATGCCCTAAAGTTGGAGCAGCGATGAGCCTCTATAACTTAACTGGAGAGTGGTAACAGCTTATGAGAATTTCATGTGTCCTGCTTTTGTTAGAGGTGTTGAAATGGGCCTGTTCTTGTTTCTCTTGAAGTCAAAGGAAGCAAAATTAGCATAAAATTAAACCATAAGTTATTCCTCCTGCTGCTGCTTTAGACAAAAAGAACAGGCAATAAATAACAGCATAAAAGAAATTTATTAAGGTAACACTGCTATTTATACAAGTTACTCATGCTAGAAAAAAGCATAAATGATACATGTAAACAATTGTTTACAGAATACTTGTTTTTCCTTGTAAAGGTGCAAATGATCTTCAAATGTAAACACAAGAATGCCAACCGTTGAGGGGCTTTTTTTTTTGTTAAAAAAAGTCTTGTTTAATGACCCATTTTTGTTAGCATAGTGTTATTTTTCTACATTCTCAAGCACATTAAAGTGCTGAGTTATAGGAACCAAACCGTACTGAGATGTTAGCACTGCTCTTTTAATATCAAGAATGTACATTCCTCCAACCCTTTCAAATCTTTAATTTAGTAGGTATGCCACAAAGTTACCTCGGTTGCATCATGACATTCTCTCATTCTGGAGCTTAACAATACAGCCAACTTGTCTTGTTTGCTCAAGCTGGATGGCAGAGTGCCTCCATGCTTTTTGCACTCGCTAAAACATACCCCATTACTCACAATGCAATTGCACACCACCTCCTCCAGAAGTCTATTAAACAGGCCTCATACCTTTTCCAGCTCTAAAGCCAACATAAGGAAGTGCATAAAAATTCACTAAGGGGAGGTACCATCTGATCCTTATCCTAATGTTCCCCAGTATGAATTATAAAGAAACCGGAGAGAGACGGGTAGAGAGCTAAGCTGATTCTGACCAGAGCATTTTTCAGCAGGAGCTATTTCAAGTCTGCAATAGGGGCAAGTGCTAGGAAATTGCAACTATATCTTTCTAGATTCTCCAAAAATAACAAGTGGTTCCCACGTGAGCAGAGACAAGAATTGATAATGGCAATAAGTGCTCTCATAAGGTTCACATACAGGAAAGACATAGATCCTGAACCTTTGTACCACATACTGGAAAAACGCATAATTTTGGAGTCTAGCTATTTTTCACCTTTCATCCCCAACCTCCTTTTTGAGCATTAGTAATTCAGCAAAGAGATGGGAGTTCCAGTCCTGCTTCTCATTGCCCCAAAAACCGACCAGACGCTCAGAGCACTAATCTTCACAGCTCCTGTGCTCTAAGAGGTCCAAGTGGCTTGGCGCAGCAGCGTCCAGAAGTATCAGGATGTAGCCCTGCCCCAACCATCAGCCTGTCAGAACTCAATCTCAAAAAATTAAAAGAGATGGAATCTTTCACTGTGAGTGATACAAAGAAAATACATGATACAAATTAAATGAAAAAATAAATATACTCTGCACTCAGAAAAGCTTCTGTGCAAAGGTGGCACCTTTCTGGTCAAGTACATATTTTTTTTTAAATGAAGCTCTCTGTAAATAAGGCAAAAGCACTATTTTCAGTATCACTTTCCTCTTTCACCCACTGCATGGATGCCACTTCCACTGCTGGAGGAGGAGAGGCCCTCCTCTTTGCCAGACTCCTGGCACAGCTTGCAGTCCCGGGTCATTGTTTATGCTAGAGTAACTTTTACAGTTCAGTTTATTCAAAAACCAAGAGACTGTTTAGAAAAAAATATGGACATAAGCAAAGCTTCTAGTTGTAGTAGGTGGTTCCTGGAGTCTGACAAGGTGGTCTCCCATTGGATGTGCGCTCAAAAAAGTCATTTTATTTATAATTCCATAGAAAGAGGCACCAGCAAAGAATTAAGGTGGATCTATATTTTACTAGAGCCGCACAGAGCTCCAGAGTCAGTAAGTCTCTTCAGTTTGTATAGGATTGAGAACCAAGGGCTTTCCCTCCATTAGACGCTTACCATATATGGGATTCACAATGTGTCATTTTGATAACGCCTACACCACCTCCCAGCCGACGATAGTTCATTCCGCCATACAACCTGCAAAGAAAAGTTGTCGTTGGTCATACTGCTTAGGCTCTTAATGCACTGTCTTCTCTGATAAAAGCATGAAACAGCCTCCGTAGGCAGCATGTATAGTTCAGCACAATTGTTGGTCTCCATTTCAGGTGATGCCTGTGATTAAGCTGTCTGATGAGTAAGGCAGCGGTCCCCAATCTATACACACACATCTAAAGTAAATAGCCATATTTGCTCACATATGTATCTCCCTTGAGGCGGACAGCAAATTATTTTGCTTCCAGTTTTCCAGCATCAGAAAACTGCACTGAATTTCCTTTCTGCTCCTGTGTAGTTACAGGAACAGAGGGCAGCAACTCTATGGGCTGCATTTGGCCCTCTGGCTATGCTTTGGGCAACCCTGGAGCAGGGGGTAAATCTTCTACATGGTGCACAGCTAATTTCAGACTCATATCTGCTTTATACTACACACAGCTGAACAGACCAATGTATAATGCATTTCAAACATCTGTTCTCTCCATGCTATGATACTGAAACAGTGCCCACATTTCATATGGAAATCTGATGCCTATCAGCTCTCATTTCCTGCTTCAGCTGCATATTCCTCTATGTGCTGACGCAGTTACAGTCTGCTGGAAGAAATAGGACAGTGGAGTTCTTTCAGTAACTGTCACCAATGCCACCCATTAACCCCAGATTGCATATCAAGGATTTCCCAGTGATGCTCCACACATAGGAGAAAAAAATTCACACAGCAAGAAGAACCGCAGCCAATAAAGAGAGGCAAGATGATAGGAGACATCACCAGCTTTATTCAATTCAGTGCAGGTAACAAACAAGCTAGTATCTTCAATAGCTACCTATATTAGCTACAAACATATGCTTTGGCTAGCTCTCCATACTATATGTCCTACCACTCCTGCCAGGGAGAGTGGCTATCACCATTCGGTTAAAAGGCAGAATTAAGTTACTCCTGGGGGAATTGTGCACCACTGCGCAGGCACAGAATTCATGTCCCCCACAGATTTCTTTGCTTCCTTACGGAAAAAGGGCTTTCTGAAGGGGAAGCAAAGGGAAGCCACAAGAACGGTCATGCGCCCCACCCCAGCAGTGCGGGCGCAGTGTTTTGGGCACCTGGAGCAGATGGCAGAGAGGTAAATCACTGCATGGGACATAGGGGTGAGGGGAAGGCGGGGCTGGGGATGCCCAGGCCGGTGGCTCCTACCCTGCACCGGGCTCAGCTGCTAGTTCCGGCTGGGCTGGGGCGGACAGGACTTGCTCTTCCCCTGAAAGGAGCGGCCTGGGCCAGGTCAGACCCACCCCCAGAACCTCCCCCGTCTGCAGGAAGCTCCACACCCTCCCCCCATCGCTCCTCAGCACTGGGGGGAGGGGTCACTTTATGGGGAACTCCGCTGTCTGCCCAATCCCTGTGCATCCAGACCCCCGCATACCCAGACCCCCACACACCTGAAACCCCATCCCGCTGAGCCTCACCTCCTACAGTCAGACCCCCCGCACTGAACCTCAACCCCCTTAACCCAGACCACCACCCCTGGTGAGCTCCCCACACTCCAAGCCCCACCCTGACAAGCCCCCTGCACCCAGACCCCCACCCCACCAGCACCTGGACCTCCATGCCAAGCCCCATCCCCCCTCACCCAGATTCCCCTGTTGAGCCCCAACCACCTTCATCTGGACCCCCCTGCAGAGTCCCATTGCCCCTGCACCTGGAACCCTGCAACGAGCCCCTGTGCATCCAGAATCCTCTCGCAGCCAGACCCGCCACTGAGCCACCCGTACCCTGATTGCCCCACACAGAACCCTCTCATCCCACACCTGGATCCCTCCTCACACTTGGATCGTGCCAGGCTGAGCCTGCCTGCCCACCCACACCCGGTGTGCCTGGTGTGGAGGGGCAGGGCCCCGGGGCATTTCTGTGGCAAGCCCAGCCCTTACGCCGTGTCACGGTTGGGTGTAGCCTCTCCATCAAGTCTGTCCCCCGAGGGGTGGGGTCGGGGAGATGGCTGGAGGTGATCTCCCACCTCTGTGCAGCCAGTGGCCTGTGCTCTCCATTGCAATGCTGGAGCCTCCACATTTATTTGTTGACAAAATTTGTAGAATTTTGCAGAATTTTAAAATGTGTGCAGAATATTTTTTGGCACAGAATTTTTAATTTTTTGGTGCAAAATTCCCTCAGGAATATTAAGTATATACTGCTCCCCACTGGGCTGGCTTTCTGAGCTGTACAGAGGCATCATCACACAAAAGTGCTTAACTGAGAGAAGTGCCTCCTACACTACATAGGAAAATCTCAGCATGAAAGGGTAATATACTAGTTCAGGCCAGCTCAATAGGACAAGGACATTAATTTCTTCCTATTCCCTGCACCCTGACAGATTTCTAAAGCATCAAATCCCTTTCAAGGATATAAATAGGAGTCAAACTCTACACTGATTAGATTAATGTACGAACAGTTGTTTTCAAGTGCAGTTATCGTCAGAAAAGCGATTCTGGAAAAACAGCCTCTCTCTGTTCAATACATATTTCCCACCAATGGTTTCATATCAGACCTGCTTAGTTTAAAGGTCAAAACAAGATTTTTCTAACTGCTAGCCCTGCAGATTTAACAGAACTCCATATACTCAAACTCCTCTGCTTCATACAATAGATCCCCATCTAAAGAGATTCTGGAATCCGAGCATAGCACTGTGAAGCCTAGATAGCCCCAAAGGAGCACACTGAATTCTGTTCTGCTTTCTGTATCTTTAAGCTTCAGCAGCTAAGGTACATGGTTATTTTTGTTGGTAAACTGAGCAGACATGGCTCAATGCATGTGTAGGTACACACACACACACACACACACACACACACACACACACGTACGTATGTACAAACACATGTACACACAGAGATCTCCAGATTAGCCTACAAAAAAAGTGCCAAAGCACAGTATTTGAGATTAGGAGGTCTAGGTTCTAATACAGTGTGTGCCAATGGCTCACTGTGTAACTGACTAAGTCACTCACCTTCTCTGGACCTCAGTTTCCCCAGCTGTATGATGGCAAATCAAATCCCTACTTCCTAATGGTGCTGTGAGGCTTAAATTCACTAAAGTGGGCAAAGGTCTTTGGGGTCCTTAAGTATAAGGCACTATAGTAGAATCACCTCTATTATATTCAAAATGAAGAATATACTGCAGTTTTGAAAAGGGAAGCTGCAGGCCCTCACCACAGGGAGCTATTTCCAAAATGGCTGTTACTCCTCTGGTCAGACGTATGGAGGAGCAATGGTCAAGACACATATTGGAACACAGCAGCACTACAGACCATTCAGATATGGATTATTTTGGTGAAAGCGTAACACTTATGTAGGGGTTTGCTACCTCTCTTTAGGAAATGGCTGTGCAGTGAGACTTCACTGCTACTGATACAGCCTATCAGCACTAAAGTGACAGCATTATGAGTGGTAAATGTCTCCATTTCCTTTCTATCCTGAAACACATTCCAGGCGCATATGGGTGGCAGAGAAACACAGTTTCTCCACCTCTCAGTTATTCAGAAAGTGATTCTCTCTCACACACTGGAAATGGGAGGTTAGTCATGTGACATGCTGGATCACATTGCCTGCTCCTTCTGTTGGTTTCACTTTCAAACAAACCAGCCAAGTCACACAAAGGGTTACAGTGGTCACCTCCATCAACCAGACTTCCAGTAAGATGAGGCACAACACATCTCTACTCTGCTGGGAAGCATAATTTAAGCAGGTGTGCCTAAGGTTTGCAATGTCACTGTTTCATGAATTTAAAGGTTACCTCCATGTGTTAGCATCAGGATCAAACACTTCAATGGTCTTCAAGTACGTTGTGCCATCAAAGCCTCCCACTGCCATTAGCTGTCCATTCACTACTGCAAGGCCAACCTAGAAAACAACCCCCCCAGATATTATTCCTGCTTCATTGCAGGTCCTGAAGGCTTGTCTCACAAGAAAAACACTTCAATAAAAGACTATTCATTAATCAGCAGTCAAGCCTTGGGAAGATGTCAGTACACAGCACACACGTTCCTGGAGGCAGTAGGGGTAGAGAAGGGACAATTGTATTTTAGTATTTCTGTTAAAATACAGATTCATAAAACCTAGCATAAAATCGTATTCAACTAGAACATTTCAGTACAGATTCCCTCAAAACACATGGCTACTTCCCTGGGATGCTGAGTAGAGTTAACTGAAAAGAAAAGAAGATTAGAGCTTTCCCACCCTGTCAGAGAAGACAAAAAATGTGTTTTGCTGCTTGGTGCATTGGCAATTGTGTTGGACTCTCATCAGCAGTATGCTGGTTTTACAAGTGATTTAAATGTCATTGCTCTCAAGACTGGTTCAGCTCATCAGATAGCAAAAATGATGCATTCAAGTTCATGCCCAGGGACTGGGAGAGTAAAAACAGCAAGGGTTAGAATGAACAAGACCTTCATCACACAATAAGCAACCGGAGTTGTACTACACTGATCCCAGAGCGAACAGTAGGATCCTCCAGCCCCAGGCTCCGAGGACCTCATTGTGATGCTGGCAGGCCAGATGCCAGCTCTTGCCTAGGCTGCAGGCATTAGCAAAGAACTGACAACCTCGTAGCTGGAGACCAGACCAGGTCACCTGTATGTTAGTTTTGCTTAAAACAGGTATTAGTCTTATAAGACTGTATTTAGTGTTCAGATTCTATGAAATGCTTGTAAGTTGCTGCATGCATTAATCACACTTATAATGTCTGTATTCCATGCTATAAGAAAATATGTACATTTTGCTTTATAACTTTGAAAATGTTTGCTCTGAATTTATGAACTTAGCCATGGGAATCGTTCTCCCCATCCATCCAGAAGGACTACCAAAATCAGACAGGCCATCAAGGATCATTGCAATACAAAGGATTGGTTAATGGCCCTATCATACCTGGGAAATGCTACATGCAAGAAAGCTCATCCTGTGGCCTTGGAAGCTGAATGAAGGAAATAAAACAAAGTCACAGGGAAATTTTCCAGTGTTTTGGCTATTTGAACTCTGAAGGGCCAGAGACTCTAAACTGAAGCCAGAGATCCCCAGGGGCTGCCCTGAAAGACACTTAGAGTTGTAGTGGTCTGTCAATTCAATCACTCTTAGGATTTAGATGGCAAGTCATTTGTGTGCGTATGTTTGCTTGCTTTAACCTGTAAATAACTCTCTTACTCCTTTTTCCTAATTAATAAACCTTTAGATAGTTTATTACAGGAATGGCTACAGGCATTGTCTTTGGTGTAAGATCTAGGGTACCAACTGATTTGAGGTAAGTGACTGGTTTCTTGGGACTGGAAGCAACCTGAAAAACGTGTGATTTTTGGTGTAAGTGACCATTTATCACAAAGTCCAGTTTGTCTGGGTTGCAAGATGAACATGATAGTTCTCCAGTCTGTTTGCTAATTCCTCCAAAGCGCACAATAGGACAGTGCCTGTGTGTTTAATGGCATGTTCTTTCCTCTAATGGATTTTGCTGCTATTGGGAGGTCGGGGGGGAGGTTATGGCTACTTACTGATGTAGTACACTCAAGAATTCCCTGCTTCAGAATTAAGTGCTCGTGACTCAGTGCTAGTTGTCAAAACTCTTATGAAAAAAAGCAGCCTAAAAAAATTTCCCCTTCTCAATTGTATTAAAAAGTTGTCGTCATCACCCACTCACCCCTTGCAGCATAGGAAGCTAATATTGCTACACCTTGTAGTTCCTTCTGGGCAATGTGCTTTGCCTTTTTACAAACATTTCCCTCTTAGAAGGGGGTTAAGATGCAGGAAAAGTGAAAGAAGCAAGAAAAGAACAGAGCCCTCCCTATGCTCCAGCTAAATAGCTAAGCACAGCACAAGCTGGCAAATGAAGCAGAACTCACGCCGCTCCGCCGTGATGTCATGGCCACCACAGGAGACCACTGGTTGGTTCTGGGGTTGTATCTCTCGGCACTGCTGAGCTCTGTGGTATCATCTCGGCCTCCCACAGCATAGATCATGTCTTGGTATACTGCACAGCCCAGGTGCTTCCGTCTAGTCCCCATGGGAGCTATTGTGTGCCAGCGGTTCTCTTGGGGATTGTAGCGCTCCACTGTGGAGAAAGTCACATTACAAATCTTTGGACACCATCTAATGCCCTTCTATTAGTGACTCTGTGCTTGTAGCCATAACACGGATCAGACTGTGAAGACACAACATTTCCTCCCCACACCAGAAACACATTGTGTCAGTTTGTCACCATCCACACTGCTTCTCCCTGCTTTCTCTAAAAGGCTTGCTATTCCTCCTCCTCTCCCCAACCCCAGTCTAACAAAGACAGGAATGCCAGATGTTCAGTCATTTATTGCACCTCAGCTGAAGAATGACAATCTGGTGAAGCTACAACTGGTCTGTACTGCCATCTACACTTGTGACAGAGTGACCTCCAGTAAGTATCCTGTTGCCCAAGCCAGTGAAGACCAGAGATATTGCAGAGATGATGCACTGGCTCTTGGTAGGCAAATGCTAAGAAAATGCACAAAGTAACTGCCTATTGCAACATCCTAGTGATAAGCAGACACACAAACATATAACCAGCTATCAGTGGTTTAGGAGGATGGGGACAGTACTAATGTATAGCAAAATCAACTTCAGGTGAGGAACTCACTCAGAAAACAGACCACAAAATATTTACCAGCTGTCTGGGGAAGGCTTATGGGTAAAAGAATGGGACCATGGAAGATACTGGTTGCAGTGCAGTATGGAGAAGTGACATACCTGTATTGAGAGGCGACGTCCCATCGGAGCCTCCCACAGCATAGAGAAAGCCCCCTAACACAGCCACTGCCACTCCTAAGCGCCTGGTGCTCATGGAAGCCACCCGAGTCCATTTGTTTTCTTTTGGATCATACCTGCCACAAGAAAAAGCAGAGACCAGTTGAGCTTTCAAATATACACATCAGGCCCTGTTTCCCTTGGGAGCTGCACCAAGCAACCAAAGGAATCTGTGGGGAGCAGTAGTTCTGACAGTTCCACATTCAGGTGGGGTAATACTAACACGTCTATTCTGGTTTTAGCCTCTAAAAGAGGTTCAGGATATGCACATTGTGGCACCTAGGCAGACAGTTGCTGTTTGCTGGAATTCAGGTTAAACTAAAAACATCCACCTTCAAATACAATCACTAACAAACCCACTCAGCATTTGTTGCCTCCTTTCAAACTCAGGTGCACCAATTGCATCTTCTTATAAGATCTTTCCTTCTCCTCCCCTCCCGCTTCCTTATTTTTAATACCTTTCCACAATGTTGAGACAAGAGACGCCATCCTGGCCACCAACAGCATACAGGTATCCCCCGAGAACTGCCACTCCAACACTGGTTCTGCAGGTGCTGGTGGGAGCCACATCACTGCTCCACTGATTCGTCTTTGGGTCATATCTAAAAAGTGTGTCAAATAATTCAAGTCTGAACTGCTTATCTATGGAAATCTCCGACTCCCCTGTGGCTTGGGACTAGTGGTACAGTGGAACTTGCTTACCCTGAATTCAGAGGGAAACTATAAAGAAGAAGGATGAAAGTCCTGAATTGTTCCAATGCACTATGTAGTGCAAACTGCAATTCTGGTTGCAGTAAAACCTCTTCTTAGCATGAAGTGTTTCTTGGAAAAGTTACTGACTTCACTAAAAGCTGGTTCCACTGTATTTTACTTTAAATCACTGAACGTTTCAAAGACCCAATTCTGACCTCCATTCCTCCTCCCTTGTATGTATTTCCAAGGTTCAGATAATTCTCTATTTACCAAGCCCAGAAAATAATGTCTGGATAGTTATCCGCACCTTACAAGTAAATATATGCTTGCAGGTTCACCTTCATGAGCAACACTAAAAAACCAAGCCAGTCGGAATGCATATGTAAGGAAGTTTGCAAAAGCCATGCCCATCAGAAACTACAGCCAGACCCACTCTTACACTTCCTTTCCCTACTCCTTTACATGTCAAAGGCTATGCCTTATACAGAGCTCAGAGCAGAGTAATCAGACTCAGATTACCATTAAGTTAGGGAACAAGGCTACATCCTGCTATATCTGATGTCTTAGTTTAATATAACATTGATACAGATGTCAAAAAGGCTAGTAATCACTGCCACATATTAGCTTATGTACTGAAGCAGGAAATGTAGATAGTATAGATGTAGTATTTCAACTGTTCAGCATGCGATCAACACAGACAGCAAAATGGACACCCTTATCACAGATGGCACCATGTTTTGAATGCATGTTAACTCTGCAATGATCTGCTGGAGACCTACCTTTCTACACTGTTAAGGTAAGAAGAACCATCATGGCCTCCCACAGCATACAGGAGGTCATCCAGAACACTGACTCCAACTCCACAGCGCCTTTTGCTCATGGAAGCCACCATCCGCCACTCATTGGTTTGAGGGTCATAGCGCTCCACGCTGGAAATTGCGTCCCCACTACACCAGCCTCCCACTGCGGGAATCAACACAAGAAACAGTGTCAGGGTAGTACATCAAACTCACACACTGTGTATGTGTCTACAACAAATAATCTATCTACATCTTCTGCCCACAGATGCTTCTTACACAGTATCCCAAGAAGACAGTATCAGAATTATTCACTCAGAGGACTGTCAATAAGAAAACAGGATGGGATTTTCAGAAGTGCCTACGTAAGTTTAGGAGCACAAGTCCCATTGAAAGTCAAGTGTTTCAGCATGTATTATTATGAGTGCTACCACAGTGCCTGGAAGCCCTAATCATAGACCAGAAACCCATTTTGCAAGACAGAGGCCTTGTCTACACTACAGGGGAAATTCGATCTAAACTACGCAATTTGAGTTATGTGACCAGAGTAACTCAAATTGACGTAGCTTAGATCTACTTACCGCGGGGTCCACACTACGCGTTGTCGATGGGAGATGCTCTCCCGTCGACTCCCCTTACTCTTCTCGATCCAGTGGCGTACAGGAGTCGACGGGAGAGCGATCTGCGGTTGATTAAGCGAGTCTTCACTAGACCCACTAAATCGACCGTTGATGCATCAATCGCCATGCATTGATCACTGGTAAGTGTAGACAAGCCCAAAGACAATGCAAGACAAGAAGAAAGTGAAGGTTAACTGAAAGTGTGGGATGGGTAACATAAAATGTCATTTCTGAAGGTCTGATAGTTAGGGTTGGCCATATGGACTAACTTTGAAACAGAGCATTTAAACTTGGAGCTCACAGCCGAAGTTGCAGGCATGGTACACACCTGCAAAGAGCACTTCTCCACAACGGATGGGTTTGCGTGGTCGAGTTCTTGGTCCCTGCATCAGCGGCCGCTCTTGGGGCAACAACAGGTAGTTCTTAGCTTCATCCACCAGGTCCCTGTGCAAGAGAAAACATTTATTCTAAATGTCTGGGTGACAGTGGCATTTTTCAGGAAGTACTATTTGGGACATGCCATCCCTAAAAATAGCAGCCATCACCAATCACGTTCCAGTTATTGCCATACTAAACAGAACATGCATGACTTTATGTAATATTATATATATATATATATATATATATAAAATAATTATATATAAACCTCTCTTAGGTATTCATAAGACATCTATTGCTAAAAGCCTCACACACAATACCAATAGATGGAAGCGGTATCCAGATGATAAAAATTTCATCATTCAGCTTTAACTAGCTCACCCACCCACCCTCTTACCCATCACCCTGCAAATAATTCTAACACTCCAAACCCCTGAGCAACTTCAATCAGCTTTTTTAAAATTTTATTTTAAATAACCTGCCAGAAAAAAGCTTCCACCTTCTCCCCACAAAAATTGAACTTCTCCAACACCAAAGTATTATACCTGTCCAAAGACCAGGAAAGGAACAATTAGTGCTACACGAGTGACAATTTTCTGTATATAAAAACACCAGAGCTTCAAAGTCTGATATCTCGTGAGCCTGCAGCATTAGAAAGGGGAGCTTTATGCCACTGTAAAGGGGAGTTGCAGCTTTCCCATAGTCCTAGCATTCTCTTCTAGTTCCAGGAGGGTTGGTATAGTCAGGAGTTCCAAAACTGTGGGCTAGGGCCCAAAGGTGTGCCACGACACAGTCTTGGGTGGTCTGCCAGCAAAACTGCATTCTCCAGTCAATCTCTTAGTAACTATTTAACTTCATGTGACTCATGTAATCTAAGTAAAAGCTATAGAAATGTAATGTTTTGAGCTGTGTATGTTGGACAAAATATAGAAAAAAATATTTATTTATTTTAAAAACAAGCTGCAATATGTCAAGTTTAATTTTCGTGAGTACAATGGTGCATTTCACTGCAAGGTAACCTAGTACTGTACACACAGTTCACCATTTACAACTGTAAAAAATGTCAAGCAGTATTTCAATCTGACATGGATAGATTTAATTTTAGAAAATGAGAAGGATGCTCTGACGGAGAAGATACTGGAAGTCCCAGACCATCTACAGCTACACAAAATGAGCCAGCCAAAAAAATAAAGGAAGTGGTAAGAAAATCTGACGACACATATTTGAAGTTTAGATTCTTCTTTACCAGATCAGATGAGTACCTGTTGCCTCAGTGTGTTATAATATAATTGTCATTTTATGTTTTTATTTACAATGTTTTATTCTTTTCTAGTTCGTAGAGAGTATGGTTGAGTCTTTACTTACACAGCACCACAGAAATTCAGATTTTACACTAAAAAAATTGAAAACACAATATAGTGTTCAAAGTTGGACAACTATTTTGTTTTAAAATCAACAAACAACACATTTTTTAACAATTTTGTTAACATTGTTGTGTTGCTTATTGTTCAGTTTTATACATTGTACATTTACACATTGCGTTTTCCCTGTTTGAATGCCGAATTTTGCTCTCAATATTTTTTTAAAGTGAAGTGTAGTTTTACCAGAGCTGTTTGGTTTCAAAGATCTTGAAGCATTTCTTTGAGTGCATATTGCTTGGGATTTTTATAATTGTTTACTTTAAAATGAAAAGGAAACATGCACATTGTGTATAGCGTTATAGTTTATATGTATGTAATAATTAAAATTTATAATTTTTCCCAAGAAGTATTAATAGTGGGTCACAGTACCTATTGCAGCTGGAGGGTGGACTTCAGGGAAAAAAGTTTGGGAACCCCTGGCTACACGGGCCATTAAAGTCACGACATTTTCAGATACAGAAAAGCTATTTTAGGTTGTTTAGAAGATGGCTTCCTCTGAGCAGTGCTCAGTGGGATTCCTGGTAACTAAGGCACCTGGCTTTACAGCCAAAGTGATAGGAAAAACAGGCCATCTTGGGAAGGGTGATTTATCAGAAAGGTAAATTGCCTACCCAAAGCTCTCTCTCCCACCAAAATATTGATTAAAAAAGCTCCTTTGAGGGTACACATTGCAATGTCTACTCAAATAAATACATACTTGCAATGCAGTGCTTTCTTCTATCTCCCCTCTATCCAATCCCAGAAAAGGAAACTGGTAAGTATCACCTTAGTTTTACCACTGACAAATCACAATATTTTTGGAGCGCAAACACAGATAAGGCACCCATATGAAGTGAAATTCATAGAAGTGCACTCTTCAGTTTCACTCTTTCCACCGGGACTTACCTGCATTCTTCGTCACTTTTAATGAGTGGATCTGAGCCGACTGTACCCACCAGGAACTTGGGACTGAGTAGTGGCAGACGGACATGTTGCAGCACCTATGAGACAAAACAGAACACAATTAAAGGCAACGCACTTGTCACTTTACAGATGGAGGGAACAGTCAAATAGAGAGCAACATTAGCTAATTTGCTTCCACATGCTTTGTGATCCAATTAAGTTATAATGCAGTCACAAAGAAGAAAGATTAGCAATAGGAGTGTAATAACAATCCCAGTAGCAATTCAGACCAGGACACTCTGGCTCAATGTAGCTTTTTGTCTATAGCACCTTTGCAATTTCAATAAGCCAATGTAGTCATCCAGCAGGACAACATCAGATTTTAAAAGAGCTGATCCAATGAGACTGCTAATGGATGAAACCAACAACCTGACTGAAAATCCTAAGGAGACTGCAGATGTCTATACATATTGTCCTAAGCACTTGTTTGGCTGGCAGTTTTATTATCTATTTACCCTTTTGAGTGTACACTGCATTGTACAGTAAATGAACTACATCAAACATGCCACAAACAGCTTACACTTTAAATGCATAAGTAGGTATAATAGAACACAGAATTAAACACAGATGAACATATGGTCCTACAAGGGTCCAAAGAGTTGTAAGGGGTATAAACTAGAGCTGACAGGAGGATGACAATTCTGTTTCACAACAACTTTTGAAAGTTTTCATGAAATGCAATTGTGCTGAAATGTCCATTTTTGGAGCAAAAAGGGCAAAGCAGGGCAGTAAGAGTCTCTCTTTCTCTCTCATTATTTCTGACCAGAGAATCCTGGAACTCAGAAACCTTCCCCTCAAAAACTTTGTCAAAACAGATAACGCCGCTGCAAAATTTTAGCTTTGACAAAAGAGCATATTTAATTCAGAATGTCCTGACCAGCTCTAGTATAAACCCTCAGACTTCAAGGTATAAATCAACTTCCTGGGGTTAAGAAGAAACTTCCCTTAGGGGCAGGTTATTCCATAATTGCATTATGGGTTCATTCACAATCCTCTGAAGCATCTGGTACTGGCCACTGCTGAAGACCTGGGGTCCGATTCAGTATAGCAAATCTTAATGTTTCTATCTGTAAGCATTTCTAAAGGGCCCGCTCCTGACGTACCTGGGCACTGGACTTTTAGGCCTAGCTGACTGGAAACTGTGAGCGTTGTAACACATCTGGGAAGTCCGGAGAGGAATTACTTCCACTACTTACACCGACAAAATCCAATCTCTCTCTCCTTGTACAAAGCAGATGCATGTGAACCATGCTCAAGGTTACCTGGGGTAGCTGGGGTCGCCTCTCCTGAATGCTGTACTTTACCCAGGCCATCACTGCATTGAACACCTGCTCCTCACTGCGAACATTCAACTCATCACTGGATATGATATCTATGAGCTGATTGGCTGGAAGAAGCATGAACTCCTCACTCTCCATCACCTGTTCAAAAAGATGGTGATAAAGAAAAAGGTAAGGACAGTGTTTCAAAGCACTCACTGCTTCTGGACTCTACTTCAAGGTTAAAGGAGAAATCCCTCCCTTTAGATAGGATCCAATTGGTCAGATCCAGTAAGGTGCTGAGCACCTTCCACTTCCGTTGACGTCAGTGGAAGTGGAAGATCTGCAGCGCTTCACAAAATTGGACCCCACAGTGCAGTTCAGATAACTTTTAGATGGCAATGCAAATGAATGGGGAATATAAAAGTTCTGTAAAGTGGTAAGTCACAGCATGCACTAATCTAGTTTCAAAATTCGGGAATAGCAAAGCCCTTGTTTAAAACCAGCCTCCTCATTTGCCATGTGGAATACATAAAACAGAAAGAAAAATGTTCTGCAGCTGATAAATATTTGAGAGGAAAGTGGCACCAAAATAAAGACATTTTATTTGTAACCTAATAACAAATCCAAACCAGAACCGAAGGTAAAAGTCTCAAAAACACATTACCAGAGCCATTGTAGATATATAGGAAAAATCTTCCTGATGTTGATTTGTAGCAGAATGGAAAGTGTCTCAGGACAGCAGATGGACTCATATGATCCTACCTCTGTCTCTTTCACTCTCTCTAAATATACACACAGAGTGATAGAGTGCCATTGCACTTAAGAGGGAATCAGAGCCTCTGAAAAACCCCAAGGACTGATCTCCTATGAAATATAAGCCACTGACAACCTGCAAACATGTTAATAATTTCTTCTGTACTCAAGATAAGAAGCAAGTTTCTCTGAAGACATTAGCCACCATTAGAAGACCTAGGAGATTCTTCTCCTTCCTATGCTCAGACCAAATGATAGCACAGTGATAATGCACTACACAGCCATGCTGCAGACATTCCTGGGTGGCTATGGAGCTAAGACACACTGAATATCATGCTCAGGCACTCAGATAGCAGGACAATGGGAGAGGTATAACAACCTAAATAAAACAGACTTATGGACATGCACAATTGCTGACAGCCAACCCATCTTCCACACAAGTGTGCCCAGTTTCTACCACGGCACCTGGGAAAGAGGTTCAGCAACATGAAGTGCTTGAACATTGGCCTTTCACAGTAAGTAATGTGCATGCAAGAGCTCAGCTTCCTGGCTGCAAGATTTTAAGCATAATACAAATAAATTCTCTTGGCAAAGATTTCCACTCTTCTAGTGATCAGCTGCATGGTCCATTTAGTTACTTGAAGAACTGATTCAAAATATTGTGTGTGTACTAGAAAATATCCAAAATGCTCACAACAGCACATGTTGCTAAACGGGACTCAGCAGGCAGCGAAGGTCACAGTTATCCGACTAGCTTCCAATGGTCATAGGAGAAGCTGAGATAAAGTTGGTCAACAAACTACCTCGCCTCTGCAGTCCCACTGCTGGGGAAGGAGGTAGAAACTGGGCTGCCAGCATGTCTGTCGGGTCTGCCTCCCACCCCTACAAACGGTAGCTTGTGCCTAAGGCTGGCCCTGACAGTTGCAAAGTGATAGTCTGAAAAGTAGCAGAGCACTGCAGGGAGCAAAATCCTGTAACTCTCCAATTTATTTAATAATGGGAGGTCTTTTAAGACCTTGAAAGTAATGCTAGCGCTTCTGCCACCTGGGTTGCCACCTCTGTGTAACTTGCTAGCATACATAATTTAACAATCGCATAATTTAAAAATGTCTAAACATCACCTTTGTCCCAATTTTCCAGATAATTATCTGGCTAAAATTATAGACTATTTGACTGCTTCCTTACTGAAAGCTTATAGCCTTATATAAGATCTTGAATGGGTTACACTACTGTTTTCATGCTGATTGTGATCAGGAGAATTTATCTTACAGTGTTGGCTGTGATTATTTGATTTATATACCAGACAACATGGTTCATCCTCACAGAACAAATGTCTTAAAATAGAATATATGGTAAGAGTTTTGCCTACTGACACAAAAAAGCATGAGCTGTCCATCCTACAATCGATTTTTTTTCTCCTTTGCAAAGATGTCAGGAACAGAACAAAAAAAATTATGCAGGAACAAACCTTCATAGAATAAAATTGTTAATAGATTCATTTCACATTATATGCATGAGATTCACTAGGACAGATTAAACTGAGAGGAATGGAAAACTTGGAGAACTACTTTACCAAGGAATTAATGATGTATTGCAGCAACATACATAAAAATAAACAGAACTAGAAAGTTAGCACAGTAGAGTATATGGACTAACTGACTGGCTTTGCCTAGTTGCCTAGTGGTTAGTCCTCTACATTGCCAGGCAGGAGATTCCATCTTTTGTTTCATTCTGTCAGGTTGACAGAAGTATGTACATGCAATCCCTGTGGAGGAAGGAACGCTTTGCATTACTTATCAGTCCATTTTGGCTTATTAAATAGCCAGGTAACTGGGTTCCACACAGGATTCTGGTCCATTCTTCAGGTGGAAAGAAGATGGCTGCAAGGATGGTGGCCCCAATAAGATGGGGAAAGAGATGGAGGAGAGAGGATGAAAAAATAGAGAGTTCTTTTAGGGCTCTGATAAGGACATGGATATAGAGGCATAAAAACAATAGCATCTGCCTCTTCCAAGTTTATATGAACGGTTTTGAGTAAAGAAAAAAATACTGTTGTAATCACGGCAGCAGCTTTCTAAAGGCCACATTTCAGTTTAGTAATTTATACACTAATATAGTTGAAGGGGAAGCTTTTTTTTTTTTTTTTTTTTGCAGCCAAAGCTTTTGTGCGGCATGTAATCTGTTGTGGGTAGGAAGAAAGACAAGAAGCTGGCTGCAGTGGGAACATAAAGGAAGAAATGGACTCCTTGCCATTGGGACCTAACACTTTCAGATTCTAACTGCATGTATCAATGTTTGAATATTTCAATACAAAAATACTGGACTGTAAAAAGTTATTTAGAGGCTTGTAGTCATGCCCTACTCATGTAATAGTGGAAAGAACACAGCTCTAATAATTGAAAACAGCAAGCATTGAAAATAAACAACTGGCTGATTACCGTCCCTCCCCAAGAAAACAGCAGAATTAATGCAGTACAGAGAAAATGTGGAGTGGAATGGCAAGCTTGAAGCTTGGGCCTGAAAAATTCACTCACCTATGGCAATCATTAAGTTCTACAGAATTTAGACTCATTTAAAAAAACCCAAAAACCTCAGCTTCTAGCCCTTATGTCTGAGAAGCCTTCCAAATACATCTGAGCATAAATCGATGCAGTGTGTCTTCAGTTAGCTTTGGAGCAGTCTTCAATGTGTCTAAAGACAGTCAAGCTCAAGTCTGTCTGCCCCTGCTCATAACTTACTAAGTGGCACCAGACTGAAATGAACACAACTCTGGTCAGTTTCACACAGCTCTTCAGAAAAACCTGTGGGTCACAACCAATCTATCAATTACATACTGCTGTGGTTTGGGAAAGCTATATGTAGAAGGGAAGGCATTGAAGTTATTCACAAGGGAGGGGATCCAAAAATTGGTAGCGGGGAAATAGAGTAGGAGTAACTCCTTTCAAGCCTCCTGGCTGCTGTGAGGGGTAAAGTGGTGCAGGTTCTGGAGGAGGTAGGAGAGATATAATGTTCCTTCTCCCACCAGGGGAGTACAGCTTCAAGTTTAGAAAACACCTTCTTGCCAGAGGCTGACACAAAATATATAGCTCCCAAACCACCAAATAGTGACCAGGAAAAGCATCCTGATAGAAAACACAGCCCTATTACTCCCAAAAGAGAATGTGAGGAGGGGCTATGCTTCTCACCAGAGCTCTACCCATGGGATTCCTTGGTGGGACCCCACCCTCTTCTGTCATCTATTTCTGGCTAGTAGGACTAGTCCTTCACTGAACTGATGTCTGGTAAGTCTTTCACATCTGCTAGAAATAACTGAAAAAGTAAAAAACCTGACTTGGGTTTAAAAAGGTCACCTCTGCAGATACACATTTGAATTACTTTCAAACAACTGTTGCTGAATGGCAGATGTGAAACACAGTTTCTGATTAGGGAAGGGAGTTGAAAGCTCCTCTGAGGCCTCTGCAATTTTTCCCACAGCTTCCCCAGTTCTCTCCAATCCCTTTATTAAAACTCTATATTTAGTTTTTGAAGTGTGTGTGTGTGTGTGTGTGTGTGTGTGTGTTTGTGTTTTAAACTATTCAGCACCTCAGGAGAGTGGAACGTCACAAACTATTGTTCAGGAACAGAGTGTCAGATGCAATCCATACACATTGCCACTTACCAATGAGCTTTCAGCATTCACTGTTTATAATATGTGTAGTATTCACATCAGAACATTAAGTTGAGAAATAACTAGTATGTAATATAGAATAGTTATCATGCAACTTAGTACTAATGCTGCAGCTACATCCTCTCTCTCTTACTACGCCAGTCAATACTGACCAGGAACAAGAGACATTGCAGGTGGAAGGGCAGGATCTGTAAGGAGGCACTAAACACGAAATGCCCAGAACCCACACCCTGCAGCTTACCTCCTGAAAGTTATGTTGCGTGAACTTGTCGGCAATCCTCAGCAGCTCACGGCAGGAGTGAGTGTCAGCAAAAGCCCGGATACCCAGGCAGTTGGAAGGGTCCAATTGTCTTTTTAGGAACTCACAGCAGGCTTCCTGGATCTCAGCCAACTGGAGTAGGCAAGCAGCTGGCAGTAAGGTCTGGACGTTGCCCTCTTCCACTGTGATCTGGGAAGTGTATGCAAAGTCAATCAGCAGCTCCATGGCCCTTTCATCGATGTCTCGAATCACTACCTCTGTCTGCCGACTTTCTGCCAGTTCCCCAGTGAACATGGCTCGGAAATAAGGACTGCAGGCTGAAAGTATCACCCGGTGTGCATAGATCTTTTTGGCACCCACGACTAGTACCACATCACACAACTCTCGGTGCTTCCGCAGAAGATTGATAACCTCTAAGGTTTGTCGAGGGTGCTTGTCTGAGATGTAGGGCATGCGAGCAGGTTGTGGTACTCCCTCTGGCAGTTTGTTGGGATCTCCAAGGGTGCAACGGCTCGTCACATCCATTCCGGTCTCTCCTGGTCGAGTACTGGTACACCTGCAAAGGAGCAAGCCATGAAACAGGATTATCATTGACTCATCTCTCACCAAATGTCATTGGTGGCTCTGTGTCCATCACTGTCTGGTCTGAGCTGGACACAGAAATATCACCACTTCCAGCTTCCTTGGCCACCTACGGAAACAAGCACTTTTGATCAAATAGCCACAGAAAAAAAACCAGTCTAAATCAAAGCATCCCAGTGAGTTAACAAAAGCCAGCTTGCAATAGGCTCATGTTTACATCTATTTTATAGACTTTTCTGGTACTCATCACTGTAGTATCTGAGCATGTCTTACACATTTAATTGAACCTCATAATAGCTCTGTGAGGTAGGGAAGTAATATCCCCATTTTACAGGCAGTGAATTAAGGAATAAAAGAGTGACTTGCCCAAGGTCACACAAGAAGTCTGACCAGAGCTGGAACTAAATCCCAGATCTCCAGAGTCCCAGTCAAACTTCTTAACTACAAGATCAACCTTCTTCTCTTCTTCAAGCTTCCTCTATGTAGATTTTTATATCACCCATCACTGTGGTATTTGAGCACGACAGCCCTGTAGACTTTCATAAAGTAAGACGGTTGGCTAGTATCATGGTTATGTCCCAGCTTCCTGGTGCATCCACTAATTTATTTGTTATCTCTCTGATTTTTGTACCTGGACTCTTCAGACACAATACACACCCTGGTGTTTCTGGTGGGTTCCAAGAGGTTGTTAATTTCTCCTAGGAATTGCATACTAAGGACTGCAATTAGTGTGATTGGATCCTAAACAGTCAAAACATTTTCAACAATACTTAAAAAAAAAAAAAAAAAATCAACTCCCTTTCCCCGAAAGGAAGAAAATAAAGTCAAGATGGAAACCTTAGAAACTAGAAGCCATTCAGCAAGATACATAAACAATAACATCTTTTACAGAGATTGGGGGGGCAGGGGACTACCCTAGTATTTCACCAATGTCACTGTCATTAGCTAAGGTGTAAAAAGTTTTCAGCCACTGCTGCAATTCTTTAGTTCTTTGTTGTCCTCCACTAGGTTTTTAGGCCACAACTACCATCCCCATACACCCTCTTGCCCCTGGACAGGTATCAGCCACAGGGTATCTTAGGAGTAGAGCCACTGCTTTATACTATCACCACCAGCCACACAAGCCCTCCAAAAAAGGGGTAGAAACTGAACTGTACCCCACCTGCACTGGCTATAAATAGGGAGAACACAGTTGCAAAAAAGGCTAACATAATTCTGTGGTGCGTGTGTGTTGTATGTCAGACTTGGGCAGTAATTTTCCTGCTCTACTCGGCAGTGGTGAGGGATCAGCTGGAGTACTCTCTCTCGTTCTGGGCACCACACTGTAAGAAAGCTGTGGACAAATCAGAGAAAGTCCAGAGGGAAACAAAATGATAAAAGGTTTAGAAAACTAACCTGTGAGGAAAGGTTAAAAAACCTGAATGTGTTTAGTCTTGAGAAAAGACTGAGGAGGGACCTAATAACAGTCTTCAAATATGGTAAGGGCTGTTATAGAGAGGATGCTGATCAATTGTTCTCCATGTCCATTGAAGGTTAATCTACAGCAGGGAGATTTAGGGTAGATATTAGGAAAAATTTTCTAACTATAAGGATAGCTAAGCACTGGACTAGGCTTCCAAGGGAGGTCGTGGAATCCCCATCATTGGAGGTTTTTAAGAACAGGCTGGACAAACACCTGTCAGGGATGGTCTAGATATATTTGATTCTGCCTCAGTACAGGCGCTGGACTTGTTAACCTCTCGAGTTCTCTTCCAGCCGTACAGTTCTATGATTCTATGCTGCTCGCAACCACTAGTAGCAAAACATTCTCACTCAATCTGCACTAAGAGTTAAAAGGAAATTTAGCCTCACTTTGCAACTGCATGGTACATTTTGCTGCATGCTTGAAGGAAGAATTAAAAATAGATCACATCTTTTTCTCTCATTATGATGTCAAATGCACTTTCTAACCACAAGGAAGTTGTTCTATTCATGACATTTCAAATAATTCAGTTGCATCTTAAACTGTTTTCCCTCTTTCTCCCCACTTCCTCCCCAATCGTCATATTCAGATGTTTCAGACCATTACCTTTCCCTCATATCTTGGTGACAAAGGTTCAGCTGGGTTTCCCCTCTAGGTTTTGCTGGTTACTCCTATTCAGTCTCTGTACACTTCAAATAGATTGGTTGGTTCCCCCTCAACTCTATCCTTTTATATGCTCACTGTCATCCCTCGTAACATCTCTGACAAATCCTTTTGGTTTTAAACTCTCTCTTCGTTCCTGCACTTTTCTAGCTCATTTCACCAGGCGGGGCTTTCTCATCATTTTCAAAGACATGCCCTGTTTTCAGAAAGGTGATTTCACATACAATGTTGGGAAACTTTCCAGTGTGGATTATGTAAATTAATCTCAGCAATATCCCCATGCAAACCCTAGAAAACTTGGTTATACATTCATGTACTTGCCTTACCAGTTTAGTTTAATAGTTTTTAGTAAATCAGGCCAGAGGATAGGTACTTTATCCTTCTATCAGGAGATGGAGAAGGACTCAAAATAATTTGTGACAAAATCCTCCTGTAGGAGGGTCTAGTTCTAGCTAGGCAAACCAGTTAGATTGCATTATGCGCCACCATTTTTAAGAGGCATCAAGCCTTCTCTGAAAAAGAGAGAGCATGAGTAAAATGTGTACCATCAAGGCCACTTTGGACAGCATTTCTTGACCAAGCTTGCAGCCAAAGCATCTTTGAGCAAGGTAGATGCTGCCATCAATTTCAAAGTGACCCTGATGAAATTATAGATCATATCACAGAAAAGTGTGGGATATTTCTATTAGGGGAGCCATTTTCTGAAAAATGGGATGCTCCTTGTTATGCCTGAAGATGAACTTTTGAAGACACATGTGGGCTTCCCAACTACATGAGCCCCCTGAAATGTGGTCCTGGAGCAGCACTCCCAAACTCTTTTGAGAACCACATCCGCCTTCCATTCTACAGAGTCATGGCAAAGGCTACTCCCCTACGAGTAGGATGGTTTACTTAGCCAGTTCCATTATCCAGAAGTCTTAAGCCATGTCTACACTACCGTTTATGTCGGCAAAACTTATGTCACTCAGGGATGTGAAAACACACACCCCTGAGCAACATAAGTTTTGCCAGCATAAGTGGCAGTGTGCACAGTGCTATGTCGGCGGGAGAGCTACCGCTGTTCATTGGAGGTGGATTAATTATGTTGACAGGAGAGCTCTCTCCCGTCGGCATAGAGTGGCTATGAGAGATCTTACAGCGGCTTAGCTGTATTGGTACAGCTACGCTGCTGTAAGGTCTCTAGCGTAGACATAGCATTAGTTGATTTTGAGAATTGGGAAGAGAACCAGGCGAAAACTATTCGAGTGTCCTCTAGATCAGTGGTTTTCAAACTTTTTTTCTGGTGATTCAGTTGAAAATAGTTTATGCCCACGACCCAACGGAGCTGGGGCTGAGGGGTTTGGGGTGTGGGAGGGGGCTCAGGGCTGGGGCAGAGGGTTGAGGCGCAGGGGTGAGGGCTGCAGGGTGGGGCCAGGAATGAGGGGTCCTTTGGGGCCATCTGCCTGTCCCAAGTCAGGATAAAGGAGGAGGGTTGGGCATGGGGCTAGCAACTCCACCCCGTAAAAAATTAACTTGCTACAGAAACGCCAATAGAGATAACAGAGACTTTTAGCCTGGAAAAAGAAGGGTCTTCAACTCGAAGACGCATGACGCTGGGTGGTGAAAGTCGTGAGGAAGCCACTAAGCCGATTACCCTTCTTGCAACCAGGAGGATTACCATCGGTACATGGAACGTGAGGACCATGTACGAGTCAAGAAAGACGGCGCAGGTCGCAGCAGAGATGAGGAGCAACAACCTGACCCTACTAGGCATTAGTGAGATAAGATGGACGCAAGCTGGACAGAGACGACTGTTGACAGGAGAGCTGTTGCTGTATTCCGGACATGAAGAGAGCGACGCACCCCACACACAGGGAGTAGGCTTCATGTTGTCCAAGCAGGCACAGAGGGCACTGATTGGTTGGGAGGCACATGGTTCCAGGATCATCACAGCATCCTTCAGAACTAAAATGAAGAGGATTAAGATGAATGTTGTACAGTGCTATGCTCCAACCAATGACAGTGAAGAGGGGGACAAAAACTATTTTTACAACAGACTTCAGAAAATATTAGAGATTCTCCCAGACAAAGACATTACCATCCTTATGGGAGATTTTAATGCCAAAATTGGACCTGACAACACAGGATATGAACAAGTCATGGGGACCCACGCTCTGGGAGAGATGAGTGAGAATGGAGAGAGATTTGTGGATCTGTGTGCACTTAACAACCTGGTCATAGGAGGTAGCATCTTTCCTCACAAGCGGATCCATAAGAGTACCTGGGTATCGCCAGCAGGCACAATAGAAAACCAGATCGATCATGTCTGTATTAGCAAGAAGTTCAGAAGATCTTTGCAGGACGTTAGAGTTAGAAGAGGAGCAGACGTAGCGTCTGACCACCACTTAGTGGTGGCCAGATTGAAGCTGAAGCTGAAGAAGAACTGGATAGACGCGTTAGACAGAAGAGCGAAGTACAACGTCAGCCTTTTGAAGGATCGTAAGATCAAGGAAGATTTTGGACTGACGCTGAAGAATAAGTTTTCAGTACTACAGGATCGGTCTGAGGAAGAGGAAGACAGTGTACCCAACAGATGGCAGAAAGTGAGAGACACTTAGGTCAGCATGTCAGGAAGTGCTTGGAATTAAGAAATACCAGCAGAAAGAGAGGATCACAGCAGAGACCTTGACTAAGATAGAAGATAGAAAGAAGAAGAAGGCAGTAGTTAATAACAGCAGGACTAGAGCAGCAAAGGCTAAAGCGCAAAAAGAGTATGCTGAAGCCCATAGAGTAGTGAAGAGGAATATTAGGAAGGACAAGAGAGATTATGTGGATGGACTGGCAGCAGAAGCGGAGCAGGCAGCATACAA